TGTAGGCTTTATGCCCTCATTAGTGAATTCATATTGTTGTAGGCCTTGAAGGCCGAATATGAATGTATAAGATAAATATTCCGGTCGACTTTGAGACCGCATATTTATCCGATGATTCGAACCCTGTCGACTCTTATTTCTTTATTTAGGAGGATCGGGTTTCGTAGGATTCATGCCTTTTGTTTAGTGAATTCTTTTGATTGTAGGCTTAGAATGCCTAATACGAATGTGTTGAAACAAATACATCGGTTCTCATAACCATGTGTTTGTTTGAAGGCTCGAACCCTGTCGACTTCTATTGATCCGTATAGAAGGATCAGGTTCGAAATAGAATTCACTTATCGACCCGCGCAGCATCTCTAGGCATCACGTGTGTACCAATAACACGCTCGCCGGGGCCCGTGCTTGTGCTTTTTATATACCCCTTTAGTGTACCTATGTGTATACAATTTATAGTGCACGTGCGGGGGTATTTTGAAAGTATTTATAGACGCCTTCTGTCCGCTAGTACGAGTGTTGCGGATTCGGTGGCGTGCGTCTTGATGTTGACTCCCCCCTTTCTCATTCACCGGGGAGGGTCTTTCTGGACTTTGGAGTCAACGACTGCTAATTTGGAAAGAACTCCTTTTAGGATCTTCGGTGTAGCGGACTTGTTATTTTTGGTGTTTGTGGGCACTCGAAATGTTCTCTTCTTAGTTATAGAACTAAAAAGAGATTTTGGAACACCAGAAAGTTTGGTTCTAATTTGTTCAAACATTTCATCCCTTCTGTCAGAGGATGTCCTTTTCATACATAGAGTCGCCCCTGTACTCAACGCACTTGTAGATCTTGGTCACCGTCGTTGTAGGTAATATCCGTACTTGTATCCACAGTGATTCATTATACTTACAATACACTGTTGTTATCCACAAATATCCATTTGCAGGGGATCGGTTGTATCCGCCACAACCTCCTAGCAATATTTGTAGGAGAGCCCTTGCTTTTGCATCGAAATCACCTTTCACCAATCTCAGGTGGTTTGATTGCACTTGTTTGACCCCGTAGGGATCGTCGTAGGAGATAGTTATACTTGTGCCCACAGTGGTTCGATGATGCTTACGATATGCCCACTGTTGTTATCCACAAGGGGCTCGTATTTGTTTGTAAGGATCCGTTGCAGCCGCTACGAGCTCCTAGAATTATTCATAGGAGAACCGTTGTCAACTTCGCCATCTCCACCTTTTACCAATCTCAGGTGGTTTTGATGTATTTGTACTTGTTTGTTGGGACGAGTCTTCCATTATCGGTCTCCAGTATTGCCATCTCAATCAACAGGCAATTGTAGGAATTGTCGTAGGAGATAGTTATACTTGTGCCCACAGTGGTTCGATGATGCTTACGATATGCCCACTGTTGTTATCCACAAGAGGCTCGTATTTGTTTGTAAGGATCCGTTGCAGCCGCTACGAGCTCCTAGAATTATTCGTAGGAGAATCGTTGTCAACTTCGCCATCTCCACCTTTCACCAATCTCAGGTGGTTTTGATGTATTATGCTTAGGTGGATGAGTGGCTTTACCCTTAGAGATAGGATACGAAATGAGCATATACGTGAAAAGGTTGGAGTAGCTTCAGTAGAAGATAAGATTAGAGAGAGTTGCCTTAGATGGTTTGGTCACATAAAATGGCGGCCTTCCAATGACCCGGTTAGGAGAGTAGAGGTATTAGATTTAACTTATGTTTAGAGAGGTAGAGGAAGACCTAAAAAGACTTGGTTAGAAAATATTAGGAATGACCTTTCTTTATTAGATTTAAACGAGAATTTGACCTTTAATAGGACACAATGGAGAAATAGGATTCATGTAGCCGACCCCACATAATGGGATAAAGGCTTGATGTTGTTGTTGTTGTATTAGTAAAACTTAAGTTAGAGATGCTTTAAAGAAAATGAAGTGTGAAAAAGCTAGTGAACCTGACGACATTCCAATAGAGATGAGAAAATGCTTAGCAGATGAAGGAATTTTTTGGCTTACTAAACTTTTAATATTATTTTGAAGACAAAAAAATGCCAGATGAGTGTGTTGATTTCTATTTTTAAGATTGAAGGTGATGCACAAGATTGTACGAATTATAGAGAAATTAATTTGATGTATCATACTTTAAAACTTTGGGAGAGTTTATGGACCATAGGTTTCGACTTGATACTAATGTTTCTCAAAATCAATTTGGATTCATGCTGGGTAGATCTACTATGGAAGCTATTCATTTATTGAGAGGGTTGATGGAGAAGTTTAGAGAGAATAAAGAGGATCTACATATGATATTTATTGATCTAGAGAAAGCATATGATAAAGTTCCAAGAGAAGTGCTATGGAGAGTTCTAGAAGAGAAAAGGATTAATAATACTTATATTCAAGTCATTAGGGATATGTATGCAGGATCATACAAGTTGGTTTGATCAAGTATTTTCCTATTTTAGTTGGATTACATCAAGGATTAGCCTTAAGCCCTTATCTTATTTGCTTTAGTCATGGATGTTCTTCTGGACATTTGCAAGAGGATGTACCCTAATGTATGCTTTTTGCTTATGATACTCTTCTTGTTATAATACTATAGAGGAAGTAGAAGGTAAACTTGAATTATGGAGGTCAACCTTAGAGTCTAAAGGTTTTCGTTTGAGTAGATCTAAAACCGAATACATGGAGTGTAATTTTAGCAGTAATAAAACTAGTGGGGGGTTTGCGACTTTGAGCGATCAAGTCATTAATAAGTGTATTTGTTTTAGATATTTTGGATCTATGTTAAGAGTGATGGTGAAATAGATGGGGATATTATTAGTAGAATCCAAGTTGGATGGTTGAAGTGGAGGAATGCTTTGGGTTTGTAATGTGATAGAGAAGTACTACTCAAACTTAAGGGAAAATTAGATAGGATATGAAATGTGCATATCCGGGAAAAGGTTGGAGTAGCTCCAGTGACAAATACGATTAGAGAGAATCGCCTTAGATAGTTTGGTCATGTAAAATGGCGGACTTCCAATGATCCTGTTAGGATAGTAGATGTATTAGATTTGACCTATTTTAATAAAGGTAAAGGTAGACCTAAAAAGACTTGGTTAGAAAATATTAGAAATGAGGAGCTGGAGAAGCCGCATGAAGGGGAGAAAGTTTCCTCGACAGCAAGCGAGCTCTCCTCTTGTTTCCGATCAAACTGTTATCACTTCCGATCTAGCTCAAAGGGAGCTTCGTCGTCGTCAGAGCGAGATCGAGAGAAAGAGCGGGAGAGATCGTGCGAGAGCGTGAAGGAAGAGAGGAGTCGAATGAGAGAGCGGGCAATCTCGTTTCTTCGTCACTTAATGCGATAGAGAGGTGAACGTGGGAGAAATGACGCGGACATGTCGGCGACGTGCTGAATTCGGCGCCGGACAGGTATTTTTATTTTTCATTTTTTTTTTAAGTTACGGGTCAACAAACACTTTAGCATATTCATGATACAAATAAACAAGCCAATAATCAAAGTTATTCATTGAGCTAGTCAACAAATAAGCAAGCAATAACTGAATGAATTTTGAGCTATTTGTGATCCTTATTGTTTCGCTTAAACCTCTGCCCCTTGCAGGAAAAAAAAGCATTGTAGTTCAATGCAAAACATCTAATCTTACAAAAATCTCTTCACATTGTTAGTCAACCTTTCGATGCATAATTTATTCACAGGTAATGCTAACCACCAATAGAGGAGTTAATTATAGAATTTTACTTGAATTATCTTCATTACCTCACTTCTAATGTGAGTTTATACTTTGTTGCATGTTTCTTGAAAGTGTCCTGTGGTTTGGTGTATGAGATCATCTCTATATGCCCTACATCCATTATTTGTGCAAGCCTTATGATCATTCTTTTCCATGCTTTTAAAAATTGGATCAGATCGGTCAGTTCAATCAGTTTAATAATGAACTTATATTTAGACCAGTCTGATCCATCTTAAAAATCATTTCTACATTAAATCGGACTGAAATAGTTAAAAACACCTATTTAGCTGGAGAATCGATTTGTTTGAACTAGTTGATTCAATTGTTGAATTATTTAAATAATTAAAAATATTAATTTAATATATTTAGGATTACATATTTATACATTATTAAATTTAATAAATTGATTTAAATTTAAAATGCTTTAATTTTTTTAATAAGCATGAAATTTCAAAGAATATTTTTAACTTTAAAATTATAGAATATATTATTTATGTATTAATTTTTTTATTTTTAAGTTATAAATTTATATTATTGCATATTTATTATATCATTGTTATGTAATTTAGATCTTATTTATATAATTTTGATATTTATTGCATTATTCAGTTCAACCATGGTCGAACCATTGAACCTTGAATCTCTTCTTCTTCTGATTCTATGTCCGTTTTTGTTTCAGAACTTTGTTCTTTTCTATTTATTACAGTTAAAGTACTATGCCATCTAATTCAATCCTCAATTTAATTCGAGTCGAACGATTGAACCTTAAAACTCTGCTTTTTCTAATTCTATGTGTGATCCAATTTTCACAACCTTGTTCTTTTCTATTTACTATATTTAAAATTATATTTATATTTTTAGTATTTATTATGTTACCTAGTTCAACCCCTGGTTTCACTTTGGTTGAACCATTGAATTTTGAATCTCTCCTCTTTCCGGTTCTATGTTCGGTCATATTTTCACTGCCTTGTTCTTTTCGATTCATTATAGTTAAAGTACTGCATCTAAATTCTCTCATTTATGTTGTTGGGAAATGATGTAGATTCATGCTTGCTTCATGTAAAAACTGTCATTAAGAGTGAATTTCTAAGGTGACATGTTCATTATTTGGCTTTGCTTGCACAAGACAATGGTTGCTATATAGCGTACGAGTCTACACTATGAGAAATGGTAATCCATGCTGCTATATATGGTATATTTGGATTAATGTTGTGACTGCTGCTGCAAGAGGATTTTCTTTTGTATGTTTAGTAAAACTATTCTGATGTTATGTAGCTGTTGATTTTTCTACTGGAGAAAATCCATGGCCAATATTTGAGTTGCAGAAGAGGTATAATGCTCCCGGCAAATCACCTCCTTTATCAGCGTAAGTTGATGAAAAATTCTTGCCTCTATATCTCTATCTATCTCTGAGATATTAGAAATTTTCGAAACTCCATTTACATAGCAGCTCATAGTTTTGGACTACCAACAGTGGAAAATTCTAACTTTCATTTCTCAGTGAATTTTATACAGGTTGGCTAACGCATTGGGGTGAACCAAATGCAAAAACAAGTGCTAGTTATACCGCTGCTTACCTAGAAAAGATCTTATCTTGCAATGGTTCTGTTGTTCTCTATGTATGTTCTCCGATTACTATTTGCTAACTTTCTCAGATGAATTCAAATATGGTTTACTGCTGTTATGTGACTATCAGATTTTCAGATGGCTTATGGCGGAACCAACTTTGGATTTTTTAATGGTGCAAATACTGGTCAAAATGATTCTGACTACAAGGCTGATCTTACTTCTTATGATTATGTAAGTTTTCTTACAAATCAAAATTTCTAATTTTAACTATTTTCTTTTTATTTTACCTTCTTTTGGTTTTCTAGGATGCTCCAATCAAAGAATCTGGTGATGTGGATAATCCAAAATTTGAAGGCATGATATCTGCGGCATTATGATCATTGTCATTAGCCATATGCTAACTATTTTGATTCGGGGTTATGAATCCTTCTTCACATTCATTAATGTTTTAGATTACTTAACATTTTAACTAAATTATGTTTTGTTCTATGTACTCAAACCACTTTCTATTTGAATCTTTGATAGCGCAATAGCTGCAACTACTGCCATCTTTATAAGATAAAAATTCTCTTTCAATTCTAAATATTCATCTTAACATTCTATTTTTTCCATACTCAAGTTATCTTTGATTGACTTCCTTTTTATATTTAACACTAGAATACATATGGCATAATTAGTCTTATTGTAGTACTTTAGAACTTACCTTTAAGTTGTATGATGTTTTTTTACCGCATTGTACTCTGGAAAAAAGAATGCTATGGCTTAGCTTGCTGAACTTGTGAGTACTAGAAATATTAATCTTATATGTGATCAAATGATGCTTCTTAGCCATAGCTGGCCCAAACATACAGATGCTGGCATCTTAAGCTTTTAACTTTCAGTAATGTGACCTCCAAATGTCTTTCCATTTTACATAGAAGTAATTTTAACTTTTGGTAATATCAATTTAGAAATGATCTTCCTCTTACTTTTGAAACTCTATAAATAAGAATCCTTGGTGTCCTTGATATGAAGCATTTGGATGATTTGATGATATTAACATCCTTGGTAAGATGCAAAAGGATTGACCAATGTTTAAAATTGGGCAATTAGGTATTGAGGAATTTTTTGTTTGTGAGGCGAGGCATAAGCCTCAAGGCGTTCTGAGGTGTGAGGCTCAAAATAACAAATTGTGTAAAGGACAAATAAATGTTTTTTTTTAAGAGATGCAAATTGCATTAAAACGAAAAGAAAAAACTATTACAAGCTAAAAAAGAAAGAAAACTAAAAATTTCCATTTCCAAACAAAGGGAAAGGAAGTCCTAAAGAAAAGCAAATAAAGCATAGAAAATGTGTATTTGCAAAATAAAAAAAAGACAATGGAAATAAGACCCACTAATCCTCACTTTGAACTAGTTGGGGTGTTGGGGATACCAAATTTTTAAAACAACCAAAAAAGGTTGATTAGTATCCCAGAGTTCCCAAGCAGATAAAAAATGACAACTAGATAGAACATCAACTTCCATTACTCTAAAATCATAATGCAAAAACACAACATTGATAAACTAAAAAACAAGAGGCCAAACAACCTCCTCATCATTACAAACTTCAACCAAAAAACTCTTCAACATAGTCATCCCACTAACAAACTGGAACTCTAAAATCTTCATTCCCTTCAAGTCTTCAACAACTACAACTTGATCTATAAAGATCAAAGCAGTAGCAACCATTGGCTTATTTGGAATATGATCCCACCTTAAACCATCATCAATGCATCCAACAACAACCACTTTGGATAAATCAAACAAAGTTTACAAAGCAATAACACTGACTCCCACGTCAGGAGGCCAAGAATCGACCTCTACACTACCAAAACCATATGAAATGATAATCACCACCCTAGAAAGTGAAAAACCAATAATATTGACTTTCTTCAAGTCTTCAACAAACAAGACTTGATCTTCAAAGAATAAAGAAGTAACATTCTTAAGCCTTGATGGGATAAGCTCCCACCTAAAATTAGCTCCAATACATCTATGAGGATCCAAACAACCTTCCATATACGCACCAAGCAACATTAGATCAATCGCTCAACAATTCTGGCTTCACCAGAACATCTTTCCGAACTATCTTCCTTGGAAGATCCAATCAAAGCCATCCAAATAGCTGCATAACCGGTAGCAACATTATCTCCAAGAATCTTCAAAAATCCAAAAAACGATTCTTCTGAATAGAAAGATCCACCTCTATAATGCCAACATCCATACACCAACAATCTCTTAAGCATCAAGAGATCACACACCAAGAATAATATCAAACCAAATCTGGAATCAAGAAAAGTAGCAAACCAGAAGAAATCTAGAATGAATTTTAACCAACCAGAAAATTCATTCCAAGAATTACTGTAGGCAACGTCGAGCCAACGAGTAAACTCTTCCAAAATCACCTTTTGACAAGTAGTTTCACTAAAATCAATCAAGAATAACTCAGATCTTACACCAGTTGAAACACAGCAAGCACAAACGATATCCAAACCAACCCGATGGAGAACCATCGTCAGGCAAACCTCCACCAAAATCGACTTCAAATCAGTCGCAACACCAAATTCATCTTCAGACAAACAGATAAAGACTCAAAAGAACATCCACACCAAGAGAAATTTTTAGCACCACTAGGACAACGGAGAACCTCTACCAACCAAAGCTTCACCAAAATCACATTGAGATTAGTTGCTCCGCAAAAAAACATCTTTTGTCAAAAATCTTGACAAAGAAGAAAATTCCCACCAAGGGACTCCGTCGGCCATTCCAGGCCGACGGAGCACCTCCGATTGCCAAAGATTCATCAAAATCGCGCTATCCGCTTCTCCGATCTCAGCCAAGAACGCCTCTCTTTGCTTCTCCGCTTCTTTTCCTCTCTTCGCAAATAAATGTTAAAAGTAAGTTTTTATATAATACCCAATTAATATGTTAAAAGATAGCATACTATCTTTCTATTGAACTATTAAGTAACACATTGACATGCATACAAAATAAAAAATTTCATAAGATGTAAAGTGGTTAGTGGTAAATTGAAATGCAATGTTACATAATATTAAATATGGAAACTGCATAAAAGTATCATATAACATTAAGTTCAACTCAAATTCTTTGTTTATCATTTTCTTACTCATCTACATTTAATTTCTAAAAAAAAACTAAATAGTTGGCAACAACTAGAAAAGCATTAGTATTGTCATCACTCAGGGGATCTTTATTTGAGTTATTATTATAAATTAGTCTCTCCCATGTCTCATCTTCTGAAGTCTAATGCCTTCCAATATACTTCTTCATTTATTTCAGGCATCTTTTTCTTTAATAAATATTTTTCATCAATATAAAAATGAGATTAATATTCCAAAATTTCTATAGGAGGAGGTGGTAGTGGTGTGAGGCTTTTAAGTGATCCTTGACGGCAACTATGATGGTGGTGGCTATGGCGAAGGTAACAGGCTAGATGTTATGATAGTCAAGGAAAAATTGTTGCAACTCGAGGTGCATGAAGGTGTGATTTGTTCGGGGCTTTACTTTAGAATTTTTCTAAGTTTTAATACAAAAATATATAAATAGGGTGAGGCATAAGCCTCATGCCAGCGAGACGAGGCACATCTTAAGGCGGGCATCAACCAAGTTGAGGCGCAAGCCTCATAAAAAAACTAAAGGCATAAGCCTATAGGCATTTTTCACTAGAATTGAGCTGAGGTGAGCCTCATATTGCGTAATTTTAAACAATGGGATTGATAGGAGAATGTGTTGGAGAAATTTTGTTATTCTTAATGGATTGAGATATTTTGTGATCAAGCATGACATGGAAAAAAATATATTATTTCGAAGGACAAAAATATTATTTTACTATAGACTAAATAACAAAACTCACAATTTGATATTTTTAACAGGAATTTTTTTTTCTATTCAATATTTGATTGAATAAGATTTATTTTATTCTGGGATACAGATGCCTTTTACGGGCAAGACCCTATAGTTAATTAAATCTCAATCATTAGTTACTTGAAAATGTTTTTTAATTAAACTAATAGTTTATTTAAAGTCATTAAAACATTAACTAATATTTTTATCTTTGAAGTTGTAATTTTTGTTCAAAGGTTTGATTTTGAGAATTTCAAGGGAGATATGATCAATATTAAATAAGATTTTTGTAATGAAAATCAAAGTAGGAGAATGTATGAGTACTTGGTTATGAGGAAACTTAGAGGTACTCAGACTATCTTATGTTAGACGGTACATTTTAAAATTAGATTTTGTTCAATTTGATCAATTTGACTTAGAAGGTTGGACTTATATTCCAACAACATATATTAAAGAAAATGTTTGAAATGTGAGGGCTTATTAAGTAATTGGAGTCAACAATAGTCTCTGATCCTAGAGCTAAGGTGAGGACTATTAAGAGGTAGTGCCTCAATGCAAATTTAAGTCTAATGAAGTGCAAGGGGCTTACAATCCTACATCTCACATGACACACATGTCAGCCTGACCTCTGGATTTACAACTCTGTCTGAAAAAGGCTACCAGCTAAACTCACTTAAACACTTTTAAAACTATAATGTTTGATATCAACGTATATGAAGATTAGGGAAGCTGCTTTTAATTTAGAAGTTAGAACTTGCAACCTAGCTGTTAGGCCAAGATGTATAACCGTGTAGTTATGCATATGTCGACTTATTGAATACAGATTATTGGGTATCTAGTCCTTAAGTAAAGGCTTTCTACATAAAATAGACTGGCCATGATTTTTTTTATTTAGAAAATGGGTTATCCTATGATTAATTTTAGATTGTTTACATATTTATTGGTTGAAAAACTAATTTTATCGTAAGAGTCTACCACATAACAAAGTCCAAGTCGCTCCCACTCAAAGTAAGTGAAGGAACTTAGAGAAAAACATGCATTTCTAGTGCGCTCTCATAAACAATCAAACATGTATATATGTATAAAGATTTACCAACAGGAAAGTAAAGTGTAGAGTCCAATTATTACAATTATAATTGCTAATTGAGTTGTTTGTCATTATATAATCCAGTCAAATTTTACAGATCCAACTTGTGAGGTTTTCAAGCTTTAGCTTTTAGATGTATCCGGGGCTTCTCCTAGGAGGGTTGATCCTTCTAGTTCATCTTTCCTGTAATTGTTTTCCATTAGCTTATAATACTTTCTAGGTCTAATAAATACATTTTAAAAATGAAAATACTCAAATCTGTCAAATAAAATAGGATTATGAAGCAGTTATATGGCAAAAAGTAACATTTTAGAATTTCCTAGCACTTCAAAAACTAAGCCTTATTTCTATCCTATTGGACATGCCTCCTTGGGGGATTTTAA